CGTAAGTTGAAACCCAGATGCTGTGAACTTTCAGGGGAACTGGCTTATTTTCTTAGCTGCTGAGGAAGGAGGGATGCAGCTGGGTTATTGGTCTGCCCTTTGACCCCTGGAGGGTTTGGGTGGGAAATGAAATGAGTGGTGATGGATGTGCATAGCCCAGCTGGGCCATCACATCTTGGGAAGGACACCTGCTCGCTTGGCTTATTGCTGTAGTCGCTCTATAAGTTGGGTAGCATGCATTCGTTGTTCACTGATAAAATCCCAGGAATTCTATATGTACCTATTTGCACAACCCTTTTTCTTTTCTAGTGCAATTCTGAGGCAAATGCAAGGTTCTGGCCCTATTTTAACAATAACCTGAACTGGACCACCCCAAATGCTGGGAAAGTACTGAGCCAGATCTGAATTTTGTTACTGTAAATGGGCCAAAGGAAATCCTAGCTCAAATTTAATGAGACCACCCCAGGTTGCAAGGCCTTAGGCATCGAGGGTATTTGAGTGAAAAGGGTAACTCCTCTTCACTGGGAATAAGTAGCAGATTGTTGTAGTCACTGGACCCGGCACTAGAGGGAGACATAGAATCATAGAAGTGTAGGACTGGAAAGGCGCTCGAGAGGTCTTCTAGTCCAATCCCCTGCACTTGATGATCAGACTCACTGAATCCACGAGGTACAGATACACTTGTGCTTTGGGGAAGTCCGGATCAGGATCCAGTCCGTCGTTCGAACTTTGTCTCTCAAGTTTGTTCTTACATAATGTCTCATTTTGGCTTCTTCGTGCCAAGTGTCCAGTGGGTGGAAACAGACGTGGTGAGATGCAAGCACAGGATAGAATAGCCCATCCAGGTCTAGGAACATCCTGGTGCAGGAAGCAGTGGGTTCTCCCTGGAAAATCCACTCCATTCACACAGGAGCATTCACCCACGCTGGTCCAGATGTTGTGTCCTCAGTGCAGCATGTGTGTTCAGAGAAATGGACACGCCGAAAACTGAATGCAAGAGGAGCTGATGGTTGTTGGCAAGGCTAATGCATGTTGCACCTTTTTCTCTTTCTCCCTTGTTGCCTGCAGCCTGTCCTGGCAAGTTCACCTGCAACACTGGCCGCTGCATTGATAAAGTCATGCGCTGCGACGGCTGGATGGACTGCACGGATTCCAGCGACGAGCGCTCCTGCAGTAAGTCCTTCCTTTGGATTCCCTACGCAGGGCCGTGTGGTGGGACAGAGAGGTCTCTGTGGAATGTCAGCAAGTGGGAGGGAACTCCTGACTTGCTCAGGGCTCCCCCAAGTGGACAGATTGGGATAATGCATCAGGGCTGAGGGCTGAAGGCAGTTCTTGGTAGTCCAGCCGCAGGGCTGGAGGTTAGCCAGACTGGGGTGTCTTTTAGAACCTGTGCATCCTAAGCCATAAGAATTACCCTTTACGGAGAGAGATCTTGGTAGGGAAAGTCCTTTCTTGATTGCTGGGCCCAGCAATCCCCTCTGGCAGCTTGCAGAGTTGCTGTCTTGCTGGAGATGAATTTAGACATGGGTTATAAGTCCAACGCTGTCTCAGTGGCTCCAGTTGCCAGCTGCGTGATCTGTGGAGTGCACCACCAGCAGAGCCTACCAGCCGGGCTGCCGAGCTTTTGGGTGATGGCTCTACACAGGCTACTTCAACTCTGCACGTGCGTAGCAACTGATGCAAAGGTGTCGGTGCTGCTGCTGTTCCTGTCAATCAACAGGAGTGAAAATGGATCTTGGTGCATCCATTCATCCCAGCACCCAGCTGACTGAGTTGATCTGAACCTTGAACACTGGGGACCTGAGGTGTGGGTGTGGATGTTGGTGTGTGTGGGTGAGTGTCTCTCTCCAAAGATCAGGCCTGCTGGTGCTGTGGCTTTTTGTTGGAGACCTGAATCTGACTGCGAGTCAGGCTGGTCTTTCCCTTTTCATGGAGGAAAGTCAAACCCTGCTGGCTTGGGGAACACCCCCGTCCAACTAGCATCAAGCTCCCAGTGGAAACCGTTTCCTCCCCCAACCTTCAGCCTGGTGGAGATAAGGAACAATCAGCGGCTTGATCGGTCTGGAATCCCTTTATAGTTCGTGAGCCTTCATTCTTATTGTTGTTAATCTCCCTGCAAAGAGCCAATGCCAGGTGACTTTCACTCACTAACCTCCCTCCGCCCACTGCCTGTTGGGAGATTGTTTCTGCCGTTTAATCCTTGCTGATGCTGCTTTGTGGTCCCAACCACCTGGCCCCGGCATGCCCTAGGGGGCTGGCGTACCTGCACGCATTTCATTACATTTCATGACCTGTCATGCTCAGGGCACTACAGTGCTGTTTATAGCTCCTTCCTGGGCAGAGCATGGGAGTGTGTGTGTGTTTGTGGATTCATTTTTGTCTCTCTGATTAATATATAATCCCACAGATAATGTCATTAGCCATGGCCTAGAGTCAATGAGAGGAGATTGGAGCCCCTGGCTCAGCTCTCGTTGTACTAAATGACAGGACGCAACTCCCTTGGGATGAAAGTGGTGTGCTCCCGGCCCATGGGTGCTCGCTGCCCCCCTGGGGTGATGAGTGGGTGCTTGGGCTGCCCGGGTGTGTACTCAATCCCAGGCTCTTTTTGAGTGAAAAATCTGTTCTCCGGTTTTCTTTGTTCCCCCACCCTACAAACGCATCAGGCTCTGTCTGTGCTACTGAGTGTGACCACTTAGTGACATAGTCAGCTCAAAACACGTTTACTGCCCTCTCAGTAGCCATTGGCAGCTGAGTCTTGTCTCGCTTGGAACACGATTGACTTTCTGTAATGGCTTTGGCTGGTGTTGCTTCCTCCTGACTCTTCCAGTGCATCCCAGAGTGCATTGCTCCATGTGCTTCTGGTGTCCGTCTGTGCGCACGTTTGCTGAGCACTCAGTCCCCTGCTGAGGCATGATGGGATAGCTGCCCAGATTTTCCCAGAATGCACTGGGGCAAAGGCTTAAGCAGTATGGTTGGTGAGGATGCCCAAACTGCGTGGAAAAAGCTGCTGCCAGGGTGCCACTCAGCCAGGTTTGTCGTAACCCGCTCAGATGAAGATGTTGCAAACTGGCTAACAAAATATGTCTGTGCGTGTTGCCAGTCCCTCGGGCATTTGCAGGGCACCGATCCCCTATGTATCTGGCACCATGTATGTGAGGCTGATGCCAAGTGCCGAACTGGCCAATGACTGGCAAGCTGGAATGGCCAGTTGTTGCAGAAGGTTCCATCTCTTCCAAATGCTCAGCCCCAGATGTTGAGCCAGTCTTGGTCTGAGGGACTAAACATCTGTCCCCATTTGATGTTAGACTGGCTCCTGTTTCTCCTCCTTAAGGGTGCATTTGAAAGGTTCTTTGTGGCTTCGAAGATCCTCCTTGGTGTCCCCAAGTTATGGGAGCTGCAGGCTCTCCCTGTACAGTCAGTCGTTCTGGCTTTTCTGTTTCTCAGGAAGGGGCCCAGCCTGGGAGACTGCTAAGCATATTCAGCTCCAGTGGGTGGAGATGCAGGAAGGCCTCCGCACCGCCCAGGGCCATGTCCAAAGTGTATTCTGGGCATGTCTCCAATGGAGAGAGACCTGCTGAAATGTCACTGTCTGAAACCCATCACCAGCCTGTAGTTGTGTATTGTACCGGTGAGCGATGGCATCGGTGCATCATCTAACGCAAGGGTAGGCAACCTATGGTACATGTGCCGAAGGCGGCACGCAAGCTGATTTTTTCAGTGGCACTCACGCTGCCCGGGTCCTGGCCACCCGTCTAGGGGGCTCTGCATTTTAATTGAATTTTAAATGAAGCTTCTTAAACATTTTAAAAACCTTATTTACTTTACATACAACAATAGTTTAGTTATGTATTATAGACTTATGGAAAGAGACCTTCTAAAAACATTACATTGTATGACTGGCACGCGAAACCTTAAATTAGAGTGAATAAATGAAGACTCGGCACACCACTTCTGAAAGGTTGCTGATCCCTGATCTAATGTCTCCCCTTCCTTCCCCAGATTGCACCAAGGAGCAGTTCAGGTGTGGTAACGGCTGGTGCAAGCCACGCTTCTGGCTCTGCGACGGTGTGAATGATTGTGGGGACAACAGCGATGAGCTGCAATGCAGTAAGTGACTCGCCCGTTGCTTTGCCCCACGCTGAGACCAGGCCGTTAAGTCACAGTGTTGAAGGCCAGAAGAGACCTCCAGAACATCTGGGCTGACCTCCTGTATAGTCCAAGCCACTAACACCCCCACCCACCAAGTCGTCAACCACAATTAGACCAATGTATTACCGCCCTCAGGAGAATAAACTAATGTCTGCCGCAGACAGAGAACAGGAGGGACTGAGACCTGACAATGTGTGAAAAACACTGGTGGGAAGAGTGCTAGAGCTGGTGAGGCGAGAGCTAGATCTGACTCTAGCTGCAATTGGGGTGACTCTGTGTTTAGTTTGAACTGGTTTTAACAAAGAGAGGGAGGATCAGCTTTGCCTGCAAAAAAATAAATAAATATAAAATTAGAGTAACTGACTGGAGCTAGATTAATATTTGCACTTTTCCCACAGAAAAGCAAGCGTTTTATAATAACTTTTATTTAGATTTTAAAAAAAAAGTTTCCTATCCCATGTTCTGGGTGCCCTCACATAATTCATCCATACAATGAATGCAATTAAATTAAATGCCAACCGTATTAAAATCCGCGCTGCAGGAACTCTGCTGCCAGCCAGCTACTAACCTTCTGCGTGATCTAGGAAATACCTGCTTTGAAAGGGTCTGGTTGAGGTGCGTCTTTTGCAGAGCAACTGGAAAGTTGCCAAATTCAGGCTATGTGGGACAAAGTAGCGGTACTATAAGGGGCTGTGTAAGGAATAACTAGGCTTGGAAGGGTTGGATTTTTGTAAATGTCAATTTCATCGTACGCTCAAAACTGAGGAACAACTATTTCCATCGATTGACGATCAAAACTGACAGAGAGGCAACGTAAGAAAAATGCTGCTTGAGAACGTATTAGAGTTTTGATTCAAGGACATTTTTTTTTTGCATAATTGGACAGGTGGTGTTGACAATTTGTGTTCTTTTAGAAAGCTGTAACTTTCTGAATCTCAAAGTCTGGCGTTCAGTAACTATTGCCTGACTCCAGCCCCCGTTTCCAGCCCCTCAAAATTTAAATAAATAAAAATTTGGGGGGGAGGAATGCTTAAACAAGTAATTTTGCACGCCTGTGAAAATTTAACTTGATAGCTCCAAAAAAAAAAATAAAAAGCTTAAAAATAAACATCGGAATGACAAATCAATAAAAATGGGAATTCTGCCAAGCCTAGGGATAACATCAATGTTTTGTGGGAAAGGGGAGAAAGAAAAGAGCAGATTCGTAGGAGGAGATGGAGAGAGAAACAGAGGGGAAATAGAACGTGAGCGTTGGGTTAAAGGTAAGAGGTGTCAGTCTAAGCTAGAGAACCACAGGGTCTGTCTGCGTCCAGCAGCCTCAGTATGGAAGCTCCTTTATATCCCTGAAAGCATGGTCCTGTCTCCTCCCTCCGGCGGGTCGCTTAAAGCTGGGTCTTTGGCACTTTGTGCCCTTTTTGCTGTTTCTGAGCAGCGGCTGCTTCCTCTTTCTCCCAGAATGCCCAGATAAGAACTTCAAGTGCCGCAACGGGAAATGCATCCCTGAAAACCAGAAATGTGATGGCAAGGACGACTGCGGGGACGGGAGCGACGAGGGCACCTGCAGCAAAGGTGAAGACGGGCTGGGGAGGAGAGTCTTGAAATGGGCACGCTTATTAGCAAGACCCGCGTGAGCCTCCTGCAGGCCCCCAGCAAGGGGCCACGAACAGGGCTTCTGTTTGCGGGAAATCTGTGGAACCACGACAACGTGCCAAGAGGGGGATCTCAAAGCCACGACACGGGGACACGGGTGGGATTCCCGTGGGAGCTGCATGTCACTGGTGTCGCATATACCAGCAAAACCATGTAGCTGAAACGCCGAGAGGCTCATATCGTCCCCACGCCCTTCTCCTGGGAAGGAGCCTAAAAGGCAGTCCCAGACAACATTCCTCCAGGCCTCAGCGTCCGCCCCAGGAGCTAGTGCCTGGGGGGTTCCCCAGCATGGTGCCATCTGGGGCTAACGCTTCTCCCTTTGGCCTGCCTTCAGTGGAGTCCATCTCCTGCACGGATTACACCTACAAGTGCCGCAGCAGCGGGTGCGTGAGCAAGACCAACCCGGAGTGCGATGGGACGAAGGACTGTGCTGATAACTCGGACGAGGAGAACTGTGGTGGGTGATGCCCCTTCTCGGTGCTGGTGTGGTGGCTGGCACTCCCCTAAGTCAGGGTTTAGATCCTGAGACCTGCTGATTATTTTATGGAGTTGGAAAGGGAGGTTGGAGGGGGGTGGGGATATGGACGTACAGTGAAACCCCGCTATAATGCGATGATTCGATCAGGATAAATGCGGGGTCGCGGTGTAGCGGGTTACCAACATTTTACCATTTCAAGCCAGTCAGTTTCAAGCTGGTCAATTTCTCTTGGGCAGAGAGTAGGGGAGAGGTGCAAGGGGCGGAGGAGGAGCGAGGAGCAGCTGGGGAGGAGAATGGCTCTTCCCGCCAAAAGGAGAAGTGGGGGGAGAAGGGCAG